TAGATATGTAATTATAGAAGAAATAAACTTTATTTTCCCTCATTTAATAACTTTTTTAGAAGTAACACAAGAAATGCATGCTTACTGTAGGAAAAAAATTACAAAGCAGAGAACTCAAAAGCAAGTTAACAGTCATCCTACTACTCAGAGATAACAATGGATAATATTTTGGTGTATATTTTGATACACCTTTTTTAATAAATAGATATGTGTGTGTGTATAATTATACTTTAAAAAAACAACAAATTTATGATTTCAGAAAAATTTATTCAATTCGGCCAGTATTTGCAGATTATGTGCAAGGTACTACACCTGTCACTTAATTCCAAAATGCTATATTAATTTTTTTCAAAGTCATGAAAGAATTGAATTGTTTAAAAGAGCAGATATTAAATAACTAGTCTATGATAATAGCTGAAGATAATTATTATGAGAGGAAATATGGAATGATAATACTCAAATTTGGGCTTTAGCCCTAAACAACTATGTAACCTTCAGTAAGTTACTGAAAGGCTCTCAAATGCAAGGGTGCCTCTTTTACGACATTAAAATAATAATGATATTTATCTTAGAGAGGTCTTATGAGAATGATGGGATTATGACATAGGACATTTGGCACAAGATACCTCAACACAGCTGCTATTGTCATTGTTATGACATTGATCAGATTATGTTGCTAATATACCATCTTAATAGGAACTGAAGTGGTTGGATCAATCAGTCAGAAATGAAGTTTAAGAATTCAATGGATACAACTCAGTAGTAAAAAAAACGAATATAGTTGACCATTGAACAATATAGATTTGAACTGTGTGTGTGGGTCTGTTTGTATGTAGATTTTTTTCAATAATTATGTATAGTACTATAAATATATATTCTCTTCCTTATTACTTTCTTAACTTTTTTTCCTTTAGCTTACTTTACAAAGTATATGTTAATTGACGGTTTATGTTCCTGTCAACAGTAAGTTATTAGTAGTTAAGTTTTTGGGGAGTCAGAGTTACATGTGGGTTTTCAACTGTGTGTGGGGTCGGCACCCCTAAACCTCCATGTTGTTTAAAGGTTAACTGTAGTTCAGTTATAAGTGGGCAAAGGACCAGAATAAGCATTGTCCCAAGGAAAACAGCAGCACATGAAAAGGTGCACAACATCCCTAATTATTAGGGAAATACATATCAAAACCACAATGAGAGATCACCTCACACCTGTTAGGATGGCTTTTATCAAAAAAAAAACAAGAGACGGTAAGTGTTGCAAGGATGTGGTGAAAAGGGATTCCTTTTACACTGTTGGTGTAAATGTAAGCTGGTGCAACCACTATGGAAGACAGTATGCAGGTTTCTCAAAAAATTAAAAATAGAACTATATGATCTAACAATCCAACTACTGGGTATATTTCCAAAGGAATGAAATTAGTATTCCCAAGAGATATCTGCATTTCCATGTTTGTTGCAGTATTATATACAACTAGGGGCCCAGTGCATGAATTCGTGCACCTTGAAAGGAACTGTGGGCTGTGAGGCTGCAGTGGGCACAGGGGCAGATCTCAGCCCATCCTCCATGCCCCCGCCCGGCCCCTCCCACCACTGCTGCTCCCGCCACAGCCGCTCCCACGTGCTGATGGCGCTGGCCCCGTTTGCACCCACTGATGGCACGGAGCAACTGGGGCCAGCGCCAGCAGCGGGTCCAAGTGGGGCTGGGGCCGTCAGCAGGTGCGAGTGGGGGCTGCTGCCCTGATCATCCCTTAGGAGCAAGGGGAGGTGGAGAAGCCCTGAGGGACGATCGGGGCCGGCAGCCACTGCTCGCACCTGCTGATGGCGCCAAGCGATCGGGGCCAGTGCTAGGTGCCGTCAGTGGGTGCGAGCGGGGCTGGCGCTGGCAGCATGTGCAAGGGCTGGTGGGACCATGGCATGCAGGAGCAAAGAATTTTCAGTAACCACCAGAGGCTTGACCTGATGACAGCGACCGGCGCCCCGCTTTGGTCTGGCGCCCCTGCTCACCTGCTCCACCATCCCACCATGGCCGATGCCCACCAAGTTCCGTGCGTGCCCCCTGGTGGTCAGTGCACGTCATAGCAACCGGTTGTTCTGCCGTTTGGTCTATTTGCATATTAGGGTTTTATATATATAGATAACCAAGATATGGAAATGAGTTAAGTGTCCATCGATAGATGAATGGATAAAGGAGATGTGGTAAATATATACGTATATGTATATAAAATGTAATATTATTTAGCCTTGACAAAAGAGGAAATCCTGCTATTTGTGATAACATGGATAAACCTAGAGAACTTTATGTGAAGTGAATAAGCCACATACTGTATGATCTTACTTATATGTGAAATCTTAAAAAACAAACAACCCTGGCTAGTGTGGCTCAGTTGGTTGGAGAGTCGTCCTGTGCACTGCAAGGTCTTGGGTTCGTTTCCCAGCCAGAGCACATACCTAGGTTTCGGGTTCAGTCCAGGTGGGGGAACATGCGGGAGGCAACTGATCTATGTCTGTCTGTCTGTCTCTCCACCTACCTCCCTCTCTAAAATCAATAAAAAATAAATAAAGAGCAAACATATTTAAAAACAAAAACAAAACATACACACAAAAAAACAACTCATAGAGCCAGAATACAATGGTGGTTACCAGGGGGTTGGGTAGAGGTTATGGGAAATGGGGAAATGCTGGTCAAAGAGCATAAGCCTCCAGTTATAGCATGAGTATGTTCTGGGGATCTAATGTACAGTATGGTGACCGTAATTAACAGTTACTGTACACTTGAAATGTGCTAAGAGAGTAAATCTTAAGGTTCTCACCACACACACACACACACACTTGGTAACTATGTGAGGTAGTAGGTATATTAACCTGACTGTAGTAGTCATTTCACAATGTACATGTATATCAAATCATTGTGCTGTGTACTTCAAATACATACAATTTTATCTGTTAATTATACCTTGATAAAGCTGGGCTAAAGAAAAAACAGAATTCAACTGACTTAAGATTTTGAGAGGAGTAAAGTTTTCTATCTCCAAATTATCTATCTCAAAAAACTGGGGTACTATAAAGGAGTGGAAAATAAAATCTGCTTAGATGGGACTTTTTTACTAGTACATTTATAAACCAGGAGATGAAGAAACAAGTAAGAATATCAGAATAGTCAAAGTACCTTATTTGGAGAACTTGCCTTTTGCAGAGCAAACAACCCATACAATTTTAGGAAACACCTTTCAAATGTATCTCAAAAGACAATCGCTTTATATATACTTATAAAATAGTATTTATTACATTGCAGTGTAGTTATTTTATGTAGTTACTAGAGGCCCAGTGCACGAAATTCGTGCATGGGTAGGGTCCCTAGGCCTGACCAACGATCAGGGTGGATCAGATTCCCCGCCTACCTGCCTCCTCCTTCCCTCACTCCCTCAGCACCCCACCGCCACCACTGGCCACCCACCATGTTCCGTGCCGCCCCCTGGTGGTCAGCGCATGTCACAGCAAGTGATCGAACTCCCGGTCTCCTGGTCAAACTCCCGAGGGGACACTTTGCATTAGCCTTTTATATATACACTGAGTGGCCAGATTATTATGACCACCTGAAGTTTGTAGGCAAATTAGCTATAATTTTGCGCTGAAGTTGCTAGAGGGGCCAGACCATTATAAAATATGGAAGCAGGGTGTTTACCACAACAGTAGAAGGTGATTTTTTTCTGAAGATATAGGTGAAAACACGTGATTTTACAGCTCCTGTACATGGATATATATATATATATATATATATATATATATATATATATGTATATATATATATATAAATGGGGGTGGGGGTGTGTGTATACATACACACACACACACACACACACACAGAGTATATATAGATTTTAAAATTAGAGGCCCAATGCTGGATTCGTCCAGGGCCGTGTCTGGCCCATCTCACCCAGTCCTGATCCGGGCCAATTGGGACCATCTCACCCAGTCCCGATTGGGGCAGCCGGCTGGGGAGGTACCATGGGAGGTTGGCCAGCCAGGGAGGGACCACGGGAGGGCTCCAGGGTGTGTCCTGTCTGGCCCGTCTTGCCCAGTCCTGATCGGCCAGACCCCAGCAGCAAGCTAACCTACGCGGTCAGAGCTTCTGCACCCTGGTGGTCAGTGGACGTCATAGTGACTGGTCGAACAGTCGAATGAACGGTTGGACACTTAGCATATTAGGCTTTTATTATATAGGATTTCTCTCTACTTCTGTCTTACCCTGTTCCAAGGGTAAAGGTTGTACCTTGTACACTTTTGAACTTCCATCTACTACAGCAATTTTCAACCTTTTTCATCTCATGGCACACATAATTACTAAAATTATATGGCACACCAAAAAATATATTTTTTGCAGACATGACAGATTCATTCACAGCAGATGGCTATTGTTGTGTTGACTGTTGTAATTATTTTATTGGACAATCTAAGGAAAAGAAGTCAGTGCCCCTGACTAAACAGTCAGGTATTGCATGTTTTAAAAATTCTTATGTGCCCCGGCACATTGGTTGAAAATCACTGATCTGGTCTATTATGTAGCTTATATTCTATAACAATTTATTGACTAAAGAACTTAGTGAAGAAGCCTATAATTTCAATTCCAAAAGAAATTAAAAAGAGGAACTAACTCAGGCCTTTATCTGGTTATCAAAATTGCAGCACCTGAATTAGTTAAGCAGATTTTTTCATAATGGATCCAGGTCCTGGCTCATCAAGATTAAGAAGTCTGGATTAATGATACAGAAGGCAGAGTGTAAATGTGAGTGTGTCTGGAAATGTATCTGCATGTCTCAATGAATTCAGAAGCATACAGAAAATGTTTTAAAATTATTACATTTAATATCTCCTTAGGCCTCTAATAGAACAGATAGAGAGGCAATCTTTGAAAAGAGTGGAATGATATGGCCAGTTCTATCAGAACAATTTTGCAAACTCCCTCAGAAAAATAACAAAGTAGAGGGCAAAGAGAATTTAACCTACCTCTCTCCTTGCAAAGGACGAAAAGGAATTCAGCAGCAATTTGTTTGACTCCAAGGTCAACATGTGTCATGAGGCGCACCAGCTTGTTTCTCACAGTTGAGCCAACTTCAGGTCGATTTGTCACATCCCTCAGTGGGGGTAAAACCTAATGGCACAAATGCAAAAAACCATCATCAATCGTGGGTACTAGAGCAAGAAAGGATGACACCATGAAACTGGTCAGTCTTGTACTGTCTACTGAACCCAGTTTTGTAAGTGTGAAAAAAGCATTTAAAAAATAAACAGGTTTGTTTCCAAATAAAATAAAACTAAGCAGCAATAATAACAAACCTCATGCCTATACTGAAATTTCGTTTGAAGAGAAACATCTCTTCACTGTACCAGCATGATATACTCAAATCCGTTTCTGAGCTTTACTCATCACAGCACCTGGGACGCCTCTGCTTGCCTGTATCAAAATCCATTTTAAAGTCTGGATCAAGTTTCTCTTTCTTCCATGAGGCTTCCTTAATACCCTGACTCATATAGACTTTTCCTTTCTTTTAATTCTTGCATTTTCTGTTCACTAGAAAAAAAATCTGTACTTATGCTTTTAGTTGTTTTATTTTATAGTAAAAAGGTTACTAATTATTACTTCCTATATGCTAGTTGCTGAAATTGATGATATACATATATTCTCTATAATCAATCCTTACCATCAACTCTATTTTATAGACTAAGCCTTGAAAGGCTTACATAACTTGCTTGGTTTGTCTGTTCTGCTCATTCTGTCACCCATCCACCTACCCAGACTCCTCCTCTTCTGGTTCTCCTCTTATCTCACTGGTTGCTTTATCTCAGTCTCTTCTACTGATTCTCTTCTCTCCTGTTTTCTGAGTGTTGTAAAATTCAAAGATTGAGTTCTTGGGCAACATTTCTTCACTATTTTCACAATTAGAGCTATTAATGATCTCATCCAGTTTTATGGCATTACTAGAGGCCCGATGCACGAAATTCATGCAAGAGTAGGCCTTCTTTCCCCCGGCTACCAGCACCAGCTTCCCTCTAGCACCCGGGACCCAGGCTTCCCTCCAGCACCCGGGACCTGAGCTTCCCTCGCAGCCCCGGTTTCGTCTGGAAGGACGTCCGGTCTAATTAGCATATTACGCTTTTATAATAGACTAGAGGCCCGGTGCACGAAATC